TTGTTAGCTGGTGGAGGGCCCCCCGACTCCCCGCTGGCTGCTGGGTTTGCTGTGCCAGTCATAGGTGCCATGGTCCTGAAGCCTGGCATCCAGCACCAAGTGGGCTTCCAAAAACTGGTCCTTGTTGACTTGTGATGTGTGTAGGAAGAGTTTTGTTTCTATTTGAAGAGTGAGAAGAAAAAAAAAATTAAGTGTGACATTCATAGTCCCTCCACTTAAAATCTAAAGTGTTTTGCCAACCACTTGGTGTACTTTCTTTCTGATTGAAGCTCCCTTCAGGCGGTCATGCTGTGTGCACGTACAGCGTGGCGTGCCTGTGTGTGGTTTGTGTAGAATGGGCTCATGGCCATCCTGGCATCCGGTCTCTTTTAAACTTAGTTGTATGTGATCTCTTTTTGTAGACAGTGCATTTGACGGCATGAATGCCTCTCTCCTTGGTGGAGGAGCTCAGTCAAGGGCTCAAGCAGCTATTTCGTTCTTGTGCCTTGAGATCATGTGTGTGTATGCATGTGTTTTAAGATCTGTTTATTTGAAAGGCAGAAAGAAAGGTGTAGGAAGAGAGATCTTCCATCTGCTGGTTCACTATACAAATGGTCACAGTGGGTTGGTCCCATTGTGCCAGGTCAAACCAGGAGCCAGGAGCTTCTTGGTGTTCTGAGTGGGTGTAGGGATCTTGAACTTGAACGATTCTCTGTTGTTTTCCAGTGTGTGAGCAGGGAGTGGAGCAGTTAGGACTCAAGTCGGTGCCCACGTGGGATGCTGGCATCACAAATGGTGGCTTCATTACGCCGCAATGCCAGACCCTGTGATGTTTTTGTTTTTTATTGCTTTTTTTTTTTAAAGATTTATTTATTTATTGCAAAGTCAGATATACAGAGAGGAGGAGAGACAGACAGGAAGATCTTCCATCCGATGATTCACTCCCCAAGTGAGCGCAATGGCCGATACTATGCCGGTCCGAAGCCAGGATCCAGGAACTTCTTCCGGGTATCCCACACAGGTGCAGGGACCCAAAGCTTTGGGCTGTCCTCGACTGCTTTCCCAGGCCACAAGCAGGGAGCTGGATGGGAATTGGAGCTGCCGGGATTAGAACCGGTGCCCATATGGGATCCCGGCACATTCAAGGCGAGGACTTTAGCTGCTAGGCCACGCCGCTGGGCCCAATGTGTTTTTGTTTTTCAATATAGCTTAAACTATTTGTTTGAAAGGCAGAGTGACACAGTGGAAGAGAGTGGTTTTCCATCTGCTCATGCCTACGGCAGCTGGGGAGGCCAGGGAAAGTCTGAGAGCCACCTAGGTTTCCCAGATGGATACCAGGATCCAAGTACTTCAGCCGTGACCTGCCGCTCCCAGGTGTGTTGGCAGAGTGCTGCAGTAGAAGGAACAGGGCCTGGCATCCCATTAGGTGCTGTGGATGTCCCGGGCGACGGCCTAACCAGTTACGCCTTAACACCAGCTCCTGTTGCCTAAATGTTTAGAAATGAAATTAGCTGGATCTAAAAACAAAATGTGCATTGCTGTCCTTAATGGATGTCACGAGATTGTGTGCAGAAAGGGTTGTTTTTTTTTTTTTAAATTTTTGTCCCATTCGCACTTTGTGTCTCCTTTGCTTCGCACTCGCCTGGTGCTGAATGACATTGATCATTCTAATTTTTGTTAATCAGCCAGTGAATAACAGTGTCTCATTATTGTTGTGATTTGCATCTCCCTGATTGTTAATGAGGTTAAGCGTCTTTTCATATGTTTATTGGGTATTTACATCTCATCTTTTGGGAAAGCAAGAATGGTGTCTTTGACTTAAGTGCCAAGATAATCTGTGGCAATGAAAATCTGAGGGATGGGGAAAGACAGTTTGAAGGGCACATCACAGTTCGGGCTGGAAGAGTAGGCCCCATTACATGACACTGAAGCTTAGCATGGAAACAGGCTGATTTAAAACAAACAAGAAAAACCCAACCGTGACCGAGGCTTTGTGCCTTGGTTTCCCGCTTGTGAGAGCTGCTAATGCAGCCACTCAGCTGTTTAGCAGCCGCTAATTAATGGCAGGATGTCCCCTACAAAAGTGTCCCCACTCCCAGTGTCTGCAGCTTCTAACCGCATCTTCCATTTGGAAGATACCATTACTCATAAACTTGGGGGCGAGAGATATGTTCAGAAAGTAAATGCAGAAGTGATGGTGGAAGAAAATAAATATTAACAGCCCTTCATGGTGCAATGTTGATCAGTGCTGAAGCTTCTGGAAGGGCAGAACCAGCCTGCTTGCTCAATGTGCTGCTTACTGTCAAAGCGTTGTGGGAAAGCTGGCCCGCTCCTGCGCGTGGTGCAGTGCTGGGGAGTAACTATTTGGGGAGCACGTGCCCCCGCTGAGGGATCTAACGTGGAATGCCACAGCCCTAGCGAGAGATTCCAGCTGACCATGTGCCTTGGCTGAAGAGCAAACAGTGGCATCCTGAACTGCTGGTGCCAAGACTTAATGTCTTGGGGCCGAGGCAGGCGGTGACCCCTTCCCCACGCCATTCAGGTTCAGTTCCATTTGGAATCCGCCATGTGCCAGGTCTGGATCTGGTCACAGATGCTGACAGTTTGGATGGGTTCCAGAGACGGGCACTCAGCGTGATTAAGGGCTTACGGGCGTGACATCTGAGCGGGGGACTCAAAGACGCGGGTCTTTACAACAGATCTCAGTGCTGGATTACATGACTCGATGATGGAGGGGCCTGTGGCTGCAGCCCCAGTTACCCTCCTCGTGACTGGCTCTTCAGAAGCAAGGAACTAACCCTTTCTGGTACCCTGGAGGGCTTGTGGGTGAGGGAACGTCTTCTTGGGGGCCCATCTGCCTCAAACTCAGCCAAAGAGCTAGAACTTGCTGCTCCCGTGAGCTTAACATTGCTGCTGTGGTGTAGCATCTGAAAGCCATGGTTTACACGTGACTTCTTGCCCTGGGAACTTGAGCAGCCAGGTCTGCCCCTCCAGCAGGTGTCTGCCTCTCAAGGTGCAGTTACTCCCTAAGGGGAGACTGCACTTCTTGATTTGCTTTTCCTCTAAGCGCATGGCCCAGCCAAAAGCAGAAAGGGGGTGTTTTTTGGATGTGGGTTGCAGATGATCTCAAGTGCGTGCCCAACAGGGACAAGCAATTTCCCACTGCCAGCTCTGTGGTGTCAGACTCTGAAACAGCCCCATCGCCACGCAGGGGAGTCGGTGACAGCCAAGCAAGGGAGCTGCACCAGCCTCAAGTTGCTGCGTGTATGCAACCTCCACACCTGTGCTCTTTGCCAGCCTGGCAGTGATGAGTAGCACTTTTGTGTTGGAACTCAACAACAGAAATGACTCGACAGGCATAGCTTGTGTCAAGTTGAGCAGTCACAGTGAGGTGCTGGTGCTGCGGCAGCCCTCGTGATCTACCTGGGGATTGCGCTGGCTCTGCTGGGTGTGTGGGGCCACTGGCTCTGCTGGGGATGTGGGGCAGCTGGCTCTGCTGGGCATGTGGGGCCGCTGGCTCTGCTGGGGGTGTGTGGCCACTGGCTCTACTAGGGGGCAGTGGGGCAGCTGGCTCTGCTGGGGGGTGTGGGGTGCTGACTCTGCCGGGGATATGGCGCCGCTGGCTCTGTTGGGGGGTGTGGGGCCGCTGGCTCTGCTGGGGGGTGTGGGGCAGCTGGCTCTGCTGGGGGGTGTGGGGCAGTGCTGCACTTTCCTGTCTGATTTGGAGGTGGTTCTCACTCTGTGGTTTAGTTGTTGCTTCAGCGTGTAGGTGATGAAGATCCAGGGTCACTAAGGGACGTTGAGTGACATTCCTAAACAGAGGATTAAGATTCGTGGGCCTTAGCTTGCTGTTTTTTTCCTTTCTGGTTCTTTAGAAGGCCCGCTCAGAATACCTATAAAGAGTGGTTTGGATTCGGAGAGAAATGCAATAGCCTGGAGCCATAAAAATGCAGGAATTTGCATTTGTCCTGGGAAAGGAAAGCTCCTGCTTGTTTTCCATGTGAGCCTAGTGAAATGTTTTGTTAAGCGATGTGAGAACAGTGGAATCAAGTCTGTGTGCACACTGACAGCTCTGTGGCTAGGGCCCAGGGTAGCTTATTTTCACGTGTGCTACTCTTTGAAAAGTCTTAAAAGAGTCTCTAAGCAGAAGGGTGTAGAACTTCAGTTGTGTAAGGATTCATTGCTCCCATATTTGGAATTCTGGGTCTGTCTGTGAGAAACATCTATTTAGCCACAGCTGGAGCTAGGATTTCCCAGCTGATAACCACTTGAGGGTCTGGGACAAGAAAGAGCAGCTTTGCCAGCACCCACCTCCGCGGCTCCTTGGGAGAACTGAAGAGCTAATCCCAGAGGCCGAGCTCAGAGCAGTGCCTAGTATGCAGTGGGCACCTGCTGGTGTTGGCTCTTGATGGCTCACCTGCCCATAGCATGGGTCCTCTGGAGGCACCTCCTCCACCCACCCTGCCCCTTGGCTCCTCCTGGGGGGACTCCGATTGGAGGCAGCAGGATACCCCCTCTGCATCCTGGGCCCCTACGCTATCTAGTTGTGCTGTCTGCTTCATGCTCGGTCATGATGATGGTAATGAGGGTTGTTTTTTCACCAACTGAATACTAATTAGGAAGGAAGTTTGGCATTCAGATCGTTCCCAACCTTTCCCCCTCCTCCAGCTGCTCTTTTTAGTTGTTTTTTTTTTTTTTTTTTAAAGACTTTAGTTGAAAGGCACAGCAACAGATGCTGGCCCTTCCCTAAAAATCCACCGCAACCAAGGCAGGAGCCGGGGGCCTGGAACTCCACCGTGGCCCCTCGGTGCAGGGGCCCAAGCGCTTGGGCCAGCCTCTGCTGCTTTTCTAGGTGCATTTGCGGGGAGCTGGATTGGAAGCGGAGCAGTCAAGATTTAAACTGGCTTAAGCTGTTGTGTCGCAACACTGGCTCGCCCCGACCCCCCTTCGTAACTTCTTTTTAAATCCAGAATGCAAAGCACTTGGTGTTCTGTGCTAAGATCGCTTCGATTTTTTTTTAGGTACGAAACCAGCACTGGAGCCTTATTATGGAGAGCGTGGTCCCGTCTGACAAAGGAAATTACACCTGCGTGGTGGAGAATGAGTATGGATCCATCAACCACACGTACCACCTCGACGTTGTGGGTGAGTCTCTGGTCCTGCCCTGTGTGAGTGGGCCTGCTTCTGCCCCAGTGAGGCAGAGGACTTGATCTGCTCTTCCTACACGCAGGCCGTCTGTCTCTGGGACAGCCTACTTCCGCGGTAGCTGGGTACCAGGGCTTCTGCACAGTTCTGATGTGCTGTCTCATGTAAGGTGATGTGGTCTGAGATGACTGAGATTGTAGGAGGTGAGACTGCTCTAGAATATGTTAGTGTGTGCAGGGAAAAGGGTGCTGATTATACTTTATGAAGACTTTGTGGTTTCTTTTTTTTTTTTTTAAAGAAAATCTGTTGATCTTCTGTTTGCCAGTCGCTTACCAGATGTATGCAACAGAGTCAGGGCTAGGCCATGCTGAAGCCAGGAGTCCCTGGTGGGTCTCCCCACGTGGGTGGCAGGGATCCAGGTGCTTGAGGCACCGTTTGCTGTCACTCAGATAGCTGGGATGGAGAGCAGAGCTGGAGCTCAAGCCCAGACACTTCAGTAAAAGAGGCAGGCGTCCAAAGCAGCGTATCATTGCTGTGTCAAGCACTTTGTTTTTATTTTACTTTAAACAAGATCTGCTCATTAATTTGGGACAGAAGGAGATCTGGAAGAGAGAGAGAACCACCGTTTAGTGGTTCTCTCTCCAGATGCCCACCCCCGCCAGGGCTGGGTGAGAACAAAGCCGAGAGTCTGGAACCCCTGCTGAGTTTCTCATGTGGAAGGCGGGAACCCACATACTTGGGCTATCATCTGCTGCCTCTCAAGGGACATTAACAGGAAGCTGGATCTGAAGTGGAGTGGCCAGAACTCAGATTCAGTACGTGCGCACCCATGTGGTGACTTACAGGCCGAGTGCGTGAGGCTGGCTGCAGGGCGGCGAGGGGCGGGGAGGACACTGGCTGAAAATCATAGCCAGCTGGAAACAGGTTAGTGTTAAATGTACTTGCTTCAGCAGGTCAATATCTGTTCCTGGAGGCCTTTTCTTTGTGGAAAGGGAATGACATATATGAGCTTATAAATAGGAATGTCTTTGCCAGGGTGCACAGATAAGTAGGCCATCTCAATGAAGCATTTTAAGACCACGTAGGCTATTGTCATGGAAACTCAAATTCTTTCTAAGTCTTGCCTGCGGGTGTTGGGGTTCGGGGGAGATTCTTTGTTGTCCATGATGAGGACAGGGTGTTGTCTCGTTGGAGGGTCCCTGACACTGTCCTATTGTGTACTGTATTCCAGCTCTTGGACACTGGGACTCTGAGATGCCTCATTGGTGCGAGGAGGAGGAGGAGTGGAGCCCTGTGCTGCTTGGGGCCCATCTCTTCAATGTCTTGTTAGGCAGCCTGGCTCAGCCGGGCCTCCTGTTTTGGGCCCTGCCTTGGGTTGCCTGGTTGTCCACCCGCTCTCCGTGCAGGTGGCTGGCTTCTGGGAGACTCAAGGCTCACACTGATCCATTTTGCTTTCACGTTGATAACTCCACAAACACAAGTCCACCACTGTAAACAAGGTCTCCTACGTCATTTCCTATTTGTGTTCCCCTGTGATATTTCCTATGTATTTAATCTATTCCAAAGAGGTACAAACTCCTTCAAGAGTGAGAAATGTCATTGTTATTAGAATTACCTAAAAAGCCATTTAAAAAAGTTCCATAAATTTGATTAACCAAATTGCTTAGATTTGGTTAATTGAAGATTGAAGTTAATGAAAAATTAAACAGTAACCCATTTTGGTATCTTAACCAGCCAAATGAAATGAAATCTATGAAACATTCTGCCTTAGAAAATATTATACCGTCTCTACTTCCATTTCTGTATAAACATTCAGTGAAACTGGTGTTTATTTGAACATTCTAGTTATTCAGGAGTCTTAATGTGAGATCTGACAGGTCTTTGTATGACGGTCCTCTGGACATTCATGAAAAGTGACTTTTGGAACTCTTTCTTCTCGTAGAGATATTTGTAGTATATTTCTAACTGAAATAGGAGAGCAGAATGGCTAAGGTTTACTTTGGCGTTGATGTGCCCTGAACCCACCGATCAAAGAGCAGGTGACTTGGAAATTTACTTTGGGCCTGACCTACACTGAATTTGACTGGAAAGAATTTCCATTTAAGGAAAGTTAGATTGCAGGCTAACAGTTCTAAATAACCCAATTTTAACATGAAGTAACTTATTGTGAGTAAAAAAAAATTATGGTGGTATAGCAGTCCTGTGAGGTTGTGGCTTTACTTAGGCCAACAGATGGGTGAGATTGGTTGGAGCCGTTCCAGGAACTCCGGCCTCGGGACTCCGCCACTCCAGCTCTGGGCTGCTGCTGAAGGCAGGCCTGAAGTTGAGTTGTTATGTAAAACATCCCAGAGCCCCCTGCCCCGCCTCCCCTTCCCACTGGCTGGCAGCCCCTCTGTGAGGAGCCCTGGGCTCTCGCTCTGAGTTCAGGGTCGAGATTGAATCGGTTGCTGAATAATGGAATTGTGCTGTCTAATGTTAATCCCCTGGCAATCGGTCTTGTTGAAAAGAGTGTATGATTCAGTGGTGTAGTGTGGAGGGAGCGTGAGTGTATGGAGTAATACAGAGAGAGGCCTGATTATGTCACACACTTGGGAGCTCGCCCAGCACAGCGCGGGCCAATAATGACACAATGCTGTTTGGGAATATCCATTAAAGCTCAACTCCAATAATTTTCCAAGCCTTGAACCTTCATTATAAATAGAAGCCAAGAGTCAGTGGTGTAGAGGCATTTTCAGTGAAGATGGAGGTGTGAAACACTCCCCCCATCTTTGCGCAAAACCCTGGTCACTGCCTTGGGAGGCACCAGTGGGATGGGAATGGAATTGGCTGATGAGCCTGGCAGGCTGACCCGGTTGGCGGTGATGCTGGGCATCTCAGTGATGAGTGGAACCAGAAAGGAAGTGAGTTCCTGGTCACCTCTAGAACCCAGATTCAATGTCACTGCGTGATAACAGTTTACAGACTCCTCTCTGGTCCGCAGAAAATCCAAAACTCCTTTCCCAGGGAGCAGTAGGCCAGCAGGCCCGGCTCTCATCCGCGAGGTTGTATTTTGGTTGCTATGAGACATGAATTTGTGGTGGAGATACTGCGAAGCCTCAGAAGGAGTACGATCTTTTTATTGAAATTCCTCCTTGGAAAGGCATTCCCATAAGCACTCAAACATAAGAACCATGTCATTTAAGTGACGGCCTTGTGTTCTGGAAGTCAGCCGTGAGTGATTGTGTGTCTGAGAGCAAAATGCCTGGTCTCTGGGAACCCTTTTAGGGCTTTGCTTGATCCTCAGTAAAATGGACACTATGACTTGGTAGCTTGTGGGCCGCGAGGGAGAAACAAGGGTGAAGCCCTTGTGGTAAATAACTGGCTCCCCTGCCATCGCTGGGTCTGCTGGTGCTTCACCCCATCCCTGCCCTGGCCCTGCCCCACCCCTTGGGGCTGAGTTTCCTGGTCCCGCTCCTTGGGAGCAGCAGCCAGGAGGAGCCTAACACTCTTGTTTCCCTTGTATCTGAAGTCAGAGGAGCTGGGACTTGGCAAGGGTTAGCATCGCAAGCAACCTGGGATTTTTGTGGGAAGAAAGAGTAGCAGGTGCCCAGCTGACACACTTGGGGCACAAATGAATGAGGTCAAGTTATTTAATTTTTTTTAAAGGTGTTTGTTTATTGAGCCAGAGATCAATCAATCTACTAGTTCACTCCCCCCATGGCCGTAATGACTAGGGCTGGGCCAGCCAAAGCCAGGAACCAGAAACTCCATCCAGGAATCCCATGTGGGTGGTGGGACCCAAGCCCTTGGGCCATCATCTGTTGGCATCCCAGGCACATTAGCAGGGAGCTTGGATCACACGCAGAGCAGCCAAGACTCTAACCAGTGTGTCGATATAGGATGCTGGTGTCACCTGCCACGGCTCAACCCTCATTCTTAATGTGATTTTGGGGAAGATTTATTGATTGGTTTAAAAGGTAGCATTTTCAGAAGACTTGGCTTTCCCGACCCTTTTTATCCTCAGTATAGTCGGAGCGATGGTACTTGCTCTCTCCTGTGAGGCCGATATTAGCTTCCTGGAGCTCCCCTAACAAATCACAGCCAACTGGTCGGCTTGGAGCCGCAGCAGCTTATTCTCTTGCATTTGGGAGCCTGAGAGTGCAAGGTCAAGGTACTGGCAGGTTCCACATTCCCTCCCGCCTCTGGTGCCTTCCACAGTGCGTGGCGCTCCTGGGCGTGGGGACTTGGTGACTCCCATCTCTCCCTCTGTACCGCTATGTCCTCTGTGCTTTCCTTTTGCTTTTCTCTTTCTCTTGCAGGAGCACCTGTTGTTTTGTTCATGGCCCCACCCTAAATCCGGATGCCTACTTTTGGTTGTGACTCAATTACACCTCAACCACCCCACCCCCCACCCCCTGAAGACCACATCTACAGGTTCCAGGGAGGGCCTGGGGTGTGGGCTTAGCTTCTGGGACTCGCAACTCACCCACCACAGTGGTTATGTGGCGTCAGCGGGGTTAGGGCACATGGCAGATTGGCTACCCCTCTTGCATCTTGGGTCGCTTCCATTAGGTCCAATCAGAAGTTTTAGTTAATGGCCTGAATGCCATTGTATTAGCTGCTGGGATTTTCCCCCTGGGTGTGTGCTGCCCTCATGGCTGTCCAGGGACAGCTTTGGCTGCTGCAAGAAGAGGTGATGGAGCCAAGTGCTTGGTGTTCCCCGAGTAGCTGCTTTCACCCCACACCTCTGTGTCTCTCCCCACTGTGTGTGGAGGAGGCGGATGTGCTGGTGAACTTGAGGGAGGCACTGGACTAATGGGGGTTTCTTGCCATCATCATGGGAATAGACTAGCACTGACCATCGGAGCCTGACTCCAAGAAGATCCTGCTCTGTCCCCACCTTGTGTCAGCTCGTTGCCACACAAAACAAAACCTTCACACACACACACACGGGGAGAGAGAGAGAGAGAGAGAGAGAGAGAGAGAGAGAGAGAGACCCAGAGACCCAGTACAGTTGGTCT